GACAGAGCAACACACCCCGCATTACAAGATGATGCAGCACCATGATACCCTGTTTCCTCCCCCCACTCTCTCAGTGTCCCTCACTTGGAGCGGTGACGCTACACTGATCCACTCTAGTCTGTCAGTGCCGCTGCTGCGTGTGTGTCAGCAAATCAGCACCACCGTGTCGCTGCGCTCGAAGGAGCTCTGCACTCTGCTGTGCTCTGGCAGGCGCTCTAATCAAACCCCGAGTAATAGATTAGTTCACAGCCACTCTGGCCTCCACTCTCTTAATCCAGTCAGGACAGGATGAGCAGCTGCGACTTAAGAACTGATAGATCTTTTAAAGACAGCATAACAACACATGAAGAGATCTAAAATTGAATGAAAGCTGTGATTCCATTTTTAAACATTCAGTTGCCTTTCAAAGACGCAAGTATCCAGAAAGCTTTCTAACCAGTTGTTAGAGGAAGCTAACATATCAGAGGAAACCAAAGGCTAGGCAGTTAAGAGGATTATAGGCTGATACGACCAATTCCTTTTTTTCCTTTGACTTTATTTTTAAAAAAAAGAAAAATGATTGCAACCATGCAAGTTTAGACAACATATGTTTGGCTATCAGCTTCTATGTGAACATTTGTTGAGAATCTTTTATTTTTTATTTATTTATGGTGACAAAAGGTAACTTGATTCCAATTATTATATTGTTCACACACGTGAGGGAGGTGCTGGACACGCGGGGGACTGGCTATAAATAACTGCATTATACAGTAAAAACAAATCACATTGAGACTAGATTAAATAAATAAGTGAGTAATCTAATCCTCTTTCCTTCATTGAATTTATCTTTGTCTCTTTTTATGCATTATTAATGTGAAATCAGACTCGAAGTCACAACAAGGCCTTTAAACACAGTGAAGCACAGTGATGTTTTACTCTCAGCAATGCAGAATTGGTGTGCATGACAGAATAATGATTCATAGCTTTGGGAAAAACTGTTAGTGGAAACAGCACAGTGAGTCTCATAATAGCTCAACAATAACAGAGTCAAACAGGAGTCCACACAGAGTCCAGTAACCCCTCCTTGAAACAGCAGCACCACTGGCTTAACAAAGCCTTGAAATCCGAGCCTTGTTAACTGATTCCTCAGGTCCAATATAGAGTTACAGCCACAGACAGACTTGTGTGTGTACATGAGCACTTGTATATCAACATGCAATTTAAAGCCAACTTGTTAAAAGGTTACACATTAACAGAACCTTTAACTGGGCTTCCCATGCACAAAGATCACTGTAAGAGTGCTTTTCCCTTTGTATCAGAAACGGGGCAAATGGAAACACAATAACAGGTTTCTGATGGCTCTAATTACATGTTAGCATCTGGTTCTTTAGTTTATTTTATCAGCACAGAGCGACCCTCTGCTTTTATTGAGCCTTGGGCACTTTTCTGTGGAAGTGGGAAAAAATGATAAGTATTCAGGCACCAGCTGGCTATCTGGCAGTGTTGTCAAAGACCTTGACATTTTGAATACTGCATAACAAACACATTATGCTTGCTCTCCACTAAACCCAGTCACATAGAGAGAAACAGAAAAATAAGTATATATAATATTTTAGCAGGTTCTACTTATATACATGCAACTGTTTCTTCTATTTTGGCCATTTTACATCAAAAGACAAAAAATATTTTAGGCAGCCATAAAAAGAATTGATGATTCATTATAACCGAAAAGCTGGAGCTCAAAGCAAATGGGTGTCCATAAAGGAAGCAACTACCAGCAGCCACAGAAAGTCAATGAGATCGAGCAACTTCAAGAAAAGATGGAAAAAATAACCACTGACCATATGAAGTTAAAATATACAGATCGTTTTCATCTTTGAGGTGAGCAACTGCAGCTTGGAATGTCTGATAGCGACCAAACATCACTGTCTGTCAGGGATAATACGTGTAGCATACTTACATCCCCAAAGGAGTATATTATCCTCCTTATTGGCACCAAATCCAACCTTTTGAAGGCGAACCATTTCTCACTCACCATCGATAACTCCACAGTTCTCCCTTCTCCTCAGGTTAAGAGCCTTGGTGTCATCCTAGACAGTTCACTTTCTTATAAATCACACATCAATAACCTCACCCGTTCTGCCTACTTCCATCTACGTAACATTAACAGATTGCTTCCTTCTCTTTCCACCCAGTCTACGTCCATTCTTGTACATAGTCTTGTTACCTCCGGTATTGACTACTGCAATTCTCTTCTGCATGGTCTCCCCCAAAAATCCCTCCATAAGCTTCAACTGGTTCAGAACTCTGCTGCTCGCATTATCACCAGAACCCCCTCCTACCAGCACATCACCCCTGTTCTTCAGGAACTTCACTGGCTCCCTGTGAAATTCCGGATAATTTTCAAACTTCTTCTGCTCACCTTCAAGGCCCTTCATAACCTCGCTCCTTCTTACCTTTCTGACCTGTTAACCACCACTTGTTCTGCCCGTTCACTTTGTTCTTCTTCTTCTTCTTCTGTCCAGCTTACTGTACCTTCCTTCCGCCTCACCACCATGGGAAGCAGAGCTTTCAGCTGCTCTGCTCCCAGGTTGTGGAATTCTCTGCCCCCTGAAATAAGAAATATTGGTTCTCTCCCCCAGTTTAAATCCCAACTCAAAACTCATCTGTTCAAATCTGCATATTCACTGTGAATACACTGTTTGTTCATTTTATCTTGTGCTTTATTTTATTGTTCTTATTCTGCCATTGTTTTACTAAGTGTTTTATCCTATTGTAAAGTGTCCTTGGGTGACTTGAAAGGCGCTCATAAATAAAATTTATTATTATTATTATTATTATTATCATCATCAACTACTTCAGCTATCCGTCTTCCTGAAGTCCACTGTATTGTAATAACATGCTCCTGCTATAGTGACCATGCAAATAAAATTCTCCTTGTCATGTAAAACCCAAACCATGACCGTGCATGCTCCCTGCTTTGAATAAACGAATAAATAGCTCAAGTCAAACATTTGCTGGGCCATCTACTACACTTCTAAGAGCTGCTGAAGCCAAACAGAGGGGCCACTTCAATTTCTGCAAGTGGTATTTTTAAATATAGCAGCTGAACCTGCATGTCATTTTTCAGCTCAGTACTCTTATTGTTCGAGAATACAGCAGATTGTATGCATGATCTTTGTATTTTGAACTTGCTTATGATGAGAGCCATTATGAACCAACTACTGACGAAGGCTTCTTTATCAGTCTTAAGTAGTTATGATGTTACTGTACTTTACCTCATGGTACAACATTAAGGCTCTGCTTAAAACTGAATCCAAGCTATCTGTCTGACCTTTGAACAACAGATGCAAACTCTGCAGAAACACCAATTCAAAACTGCACTTTCTGAATTGAACTGATCACATTTTGGGTCAGAGCTGGACCCTGGATCATGGAGCCAATGCCTACTTGTATTAGCATCAGTTAACTTATGAATATAATACCAATGGTTTGTGCATCAGACAGCTGGCTGTACAGTTTGACTGGGGCTGTGATGGCAGCACCTTCTGCAGTCACATAAACCGCTCCTGATGGTCTATGCCAAGGCCAGATCAACCCCATTCATAGCACACATGCGGAAGGCTGGCTTTCAAGGACAGTGACCGACTGGAGTAGGATGTTGATACCTTATCAGCTTTATCAAACTCCAGACTAAAAATGTAATTATACTTTTCATGGTTATTTTCCTGTTGGAGTCTTCATAATTTTATTTGACGGTTTCTATTTTTCTGCATAGTCACCACAAACAGAAGACCAGCTGCTCTGGGAAGAAAAATCCTTTGTTCTACTGAAGTACGCAAGGCCATGTTCTGTGTGTCAACCAAGCAAAGCACACACAGAGCTGAACAAATGGGCTACAAACAGACAAAACTCTCCTTGGTTTATAAACAGGACAGTGAAACTTCATGTAAAGGAGAAACTGTTCCTTTTCTGATTAGTTCTCTCTCAAACGAGCAGTGACCTCCACCTCACACTGGAGCGGTTCCCAGCTGAGCAACAGGAATGAAATTTGGCACATCGCAAGTCTGAGAGAACAGTTCTCATCAGGAAAAGAGTTAAAGGCACATACCAGGGAAGGCAGAGGTTCATCTGCAGTGGTGCAGACACTGTACTGGTGTGCTTTGAAAATAAGAGCTGAGTGTACAGCAGAGCTGTAAATTCATTGGTCGGTCTATGTTCTTACCCTCGCCTATGGCCACAGGCTGTAGGCAGGGACTGAAACAATAGGATAGCAGATGGCTGAAAGCTACAATATACCTGCTGCAACAGTCGGTCACTTCGCTCAGCATGGCAACTGTGTTTCATAGACATTTGTTTTATACCTGCTGTTACAGGAGGCTGCTGCAGTATTCTCCTGAACTATAGATATGGCCACTTAGACAATACATCCACATAAGTGTTGATATAGGAGGAAAAGAAGCCAAAACTGGAAGCCAAGATGTTGTCAAAGGTTTTTTGCAAAGTTTTTTCCACAAATTGTCAAGTTTTCTGCATCTGTGCATCTGTGATCATCTGCTACAATATCATTAAAATGGCAGTAAAAACCAATACAGTTGTGTCTTCAACCCAGCTCTAGCAGCGCACCGTGCCAAGTTACAAAAATCGAGGGGTGCATAAGCAGCCGACTGGCATCAAAATTGATGCGCAACACTACAAACACAAACTATGCATCATGCCACAGGCCACATGAGATTAAGCTCAGCCAGTACATTGAAAGAAGCCTGGTTCAGGAATCTTTTCTAGAATGTCGTCAGGATGCCTCCTTGTTTTGGAGTTTTAGGCATGTCCTACCAGGGAGGTGAAGAAATGAATTGGAGAATGGAAAGTATGGTGGGGAAATAGAGATCTGACGCAGACGCAACTACTGCCCACGTCTCCATCCTTTCTGGTAATTCAATAGGTATGCTCGTGCCACAAGCCACACACAAAATAAAGCCCCTTAAGTTCTGTTGAACCCCTGGTCTGACTACAGATTCTACCTTTTGTATTTTCTTAGGGTCTTTGAGGGGGCTTTCCCGAAGTGGGACTTTCCCAAACAGCTTCCACCCAGGATCCTTCTGCTCCACAGGCTGATTTTCCTTCACTCTCCTGGCAAACAGGCTCCTGAGAGAGGAGAATGACACAGAATTAGAATGGACGATAATTAGCTCATTATAACAGCAACAAAAAGGAAGGAAGGCGTTGACAACCTGCCTCCTGACTAAAGCAATCAGTGAGGTGAAACACTGTAGTGTGTGTGTCTCTACTACTGGAGGGAACAGCTGATGTAAAGCCACATATTGTATATTTGACTTAAAGAACAAGGGGGTATAGGTCGCAAGCCATTTAACCTCCTACCTTATATGAGCGATATTCAATTAAAATTTAAGGTCTAGTTAGAGAAAATTTCCTCAAACCAAGGTCCAAAATATCAAAGTTCCAAATGCATTATAATTTAATGCAATATATAATAAAGTAGCCCAATTTTTGAATCAGTAGTAGTTTGAAGTTATATAAGAACATTAAATCTACATTTATGGTAATTTCATTTTAATGGAGAAAGACAGAATTCAACCAAAAATCCAGAAAGAAAATATTACATGAAAGTAATAAATAAATAGATTTGCATGTCTCTGAGTAAAATAAAAATTTGATTCCCCCACAGATTGACTATAATCATGGGACATAGCCAGTCAATTCCAGATAGTACTGATCTTAACTTGTTGTGTATAAAGTACACCTTTTCACAGAATCAATTTGCTTTTATTCCAACCTATCCACGACCACAGGTAAGACCAAAGATCGATCAAAGAACGTGACAAGACTGCAGATCTGCACAACGCTGGGCTACACATGGATGAGTTACAAGAACATCAGCAAGAAGCTTGGTGAGAATATGACAACTGTCAGTGCAATTATTCAGAAGAAACTGTCACCGTTGAAGGAGTTCTTCCCTCACAGGGTGAGGATGATCACAAAAAAAAAGTGGATCAGCCTAGAGCTACACTTGTCAATGACGTAAAGGCAAATAAGACCACAGTCACCAAGAACACCACTTTTAACACACTACACATTGAGACCTCGCAGCGTTCCAAGTTCCCCCCTTGGTTATGTGGCCGATCTTACAAACTCAGAAGGAGAACATTTCCCCCACTGTACATCGACTATTGTAGACAAAGGAAAAGGCTGACCATACTAAAATAACAATAAGATAAATGTGAGAAATCTTGCACTAACGTAAAATAGAAATGGTGCATCAAAATCTAGTAATAGGTCTGGGTTCAGATCCAGATTGTAGTCTGCCAATTCACGACTTAGGCACAATATGGAAGAAAGCATTGAGAAATGGTTGAATTTGGGTGTTTTTTGTCCCACTGCCACAGGTGTATAAAACTCAAGCACTTGTAAAAGAATGGGTCATCTAAAGAGCTTACTGAATTTGAGTATGGTAGTAAAAAAGATGCCACTGTTGCAACAAGTCAGATTGTGAAATTTCGTAGCGGCAAGTGGTATTATTGCAAAACTAAAGTGTTTAAAAACCACATCAACATCATGTAAAGTTACAGAGCAGGCTTGCCATGTGCTGAGACACACAGTGCCTAACTGCAGAGTTCCAAATTTCCCCTCATTATTGCCGCTTTGACTGAAGAATACTACCTTCATCCAATGAATTTTGTGAATTCCCATTTGAAATGAATTGTATCCAGTCTCCTCTGCACTGCAATGAAAGTGCAGTGGTTTCAGCCCACCTGCGGTTTAAATACTACCTGCTAAACCGTTGAAAAGCTTTCCTTTGTTCCACAACATTCACTAAGCCGTTTAGCCAGCTATTCGGTTTTATTTTTTATTCATTTATCACTGCGTTGATGTCACTGAGCTGTTAGAGGTGGCTTTAATTAAAAGCCCGAATAGAGGCAAGCTGTGAAAAGACACATTTAAATTGGTCAAATAAAAAGCCTCTTCTGATCAAGCAGGGCAAGAACAGGCACAATAGAAGGCTGTAACATCAAAGAGCCCACACACTGCTGTTTGTCTAAGGCTGAATTTCATCAAGGGGTCTTCTATAATGATTTTCACACGTCAGCTAAATATGACATTTTCAAGCTTTGGCTCTCAGCAAGTTGTACAGACATGTGGAAAGAGCCGGGAAGGGTCAAATAGGTCTAAATGCACAAGTTGTCTCAGTTGAATCAGTGACCCCTGACCTCTTAAGTGCTGCACAGCTTGACCTGTGCCCCGTGGGTTGGTCTCGAGAGTAGTGATGACAGGAAACATGCTGCCAAACACAGGACAGACTCATTCAATGACTGTCACCACATGTGCTACAGGCTTCTGTTTTTGCTTTGGAAATTGCTTCATTCAAGATGTTCTGTGCTCAGTAAAACCTTACAGTTCCTGTCGTCTGGACAACAAAATGACATTGGCTCTTATCTTGCTTAATAACAGTAGTTGTAAAGTTATTATAAAGTGCAATTAATACTAATCAAGAAGAAGCTGCATCATATCAAAAACAAGCAATGCTTTGCTGCTAGTAATCACTTATGTTCAATTACTAAACAAATCTTGCAGCTGCTCTAAAATTAGTTTGTAATTTTCCTTTTTTATGATTTGGTAATATTTCAGTTTTCTAGTTACAGTAAAACAGCCCAAGTTGCAAATATGACCTATATTCCACAAGAAAAAAAAAACAAAAAAAAAACTAACATGCACAGAGACCAAACTACTATAATAAAGCTCACCACCTCTGAGCAGCTAACTCAGCTGAACTTCCCTTGTTCTATGCAAGTCGGATCTCTTCAGGAGCTTTTAATTATCTTAAGGAGCCAATTAAAAAGCTCTATTTTAAATTCAGAAAAGAAATCCATGAGCTATGAGCCCTAAAATGCTGAGGCCTGAACAACTTATTCAACAATATTAGCTGAGAATTAATAGGGAAGAAGTATTATTTATGTATAACCTGCAGGTTTTCCAGTATTCAGAAAGCAATGTGTTTTATGAGTTACAGAGCAGTCTGAGGAGCAAATATCAGGAAAAAAAAAAACATTATTTCTTGTAGACCATTAATACTGTTAGGAATCAGAAGGTGACGCAAGACAGAAAGATGACAATACCATCACACTGCAACTCTGGACAACATTTCAAACAGCCAAGCTTTACAGCCAACCAGCTGTAATTGCTTATGAAACGTAACAAAGATTAACAACAATTTTGCTAATGATTTACCATGGTGACATTTCAGTTTCCAGTGACAACCTGAAAACAAAATAACTTGATCTTAACAAGTAAATCCATGTATGTTCACAGTCAGGCATAAGCTGGGCGAGTCGCCATTCTATTTACCCTCTAATGCCAACGCCTCATTCCTGCCTCGTTGTAGCTGCACGTTTCACATCAACCCTGCATATTTTCCGCTCTGCTTGCTGATAACTACAGTACACAAAGATAAAAGTAATGGAATGTAACTCCCAAGGTGAAAAAAAGAAAGCCGTTAAAAGCCAACACTTAATATTTTACAAACTGTAAATGCACAGTGACATTTAAGCTGAACTTCTCTGCTATTTTCACAATTGCACAGACAAACCAGTGAACAAAACAAAAAAAAAAACCCACCATTTTCCATACTATCGCTATTTTCTTAATATTTTGACAAAGAAGTGCTTGAACGCATAAGACATCGGTAAATTGTACAGCACCATTTCACACTCAAATATAGAGGAAATGGTCAATTTAAGGTTGTAATATCTACTGACATCAAAGCCATCTAACTCCACCCACAGCAAACAGAGGAAGGAAACGTTAGCCTTCAGATTACAAAGAAACAAAAGATGGAGAGGATAACTGAGGAACGCATGGGGTGACGGAGGAAAGAGTCATTTAGCCACAAAGACCAGGGGAACGACAAGGACTATTTAACAGATTTCTTTTGAAGCTTGGAGAACTCAAAACAATTCAAGGAAAACTGCTTCACAGACTTTGCACAGGCTCTACTGAATGCTACACTTAAGAATCCCATTATTATCATTGCTCACTCCCTGTCATAGATTCACTTTTAGAAAGACGAGTACTGGCAAACATGGCAAAGTCTCATATATTGAATCCAGCTTTACTACTTTCCTCTACTTTTGGTTCTGAATGATGTTAATCTGAACATGTCGTTAGAATCTGATCTCTCTGGTTATGAGAACCTACCTCCTGTTTAATTCTTCTGGCTTAAAATGAATAAGGATTATTTATAAGTGCTAATCATACAAAACTACTAAGAGTTCTGGAATTTAACACTTCTCTTTGGTGAAGAGGACAGACGAGCTGACCCATGCAACAGGGCTCTCCAACACCATTATAGGCAATCCATCCCTCCATCGCAATTCCAAAGACTTAGAGAAGTAATACCAAGAAGCAGGGTGTGGAACAATATCTTAAAACACTGCACAGCCGTGAAAAACACAAATTCACAGCTTAAAAAACCCAATTACATCCTGATGGCTTCCAAAGAAATTAACAACAATAACAATCTTGGCAAAATTGGACATTCTAGCAAATTCACCACAAAAATGAGAATACCTAGAGAACCTGCTAAATGCAACAAACCCCAAGAACTGCATCTCAGACTCAACATTTAACATGCTGACATTTGTAAACGTTCATGAGAGCACATTCAGAAAAAGACTTTTAAAGTAAAAAGGAGAAGCGGAAGCGAATGGACTTTTAAAGTATGGCTCGTTTGGAAGGGTTGTCAGCAGGAAGCCTATTCTCTGTAGAAAAGAAAATGGCTGCATGACACAGGTTTTTAAAGTTGCATCTGAATAAAAAAAACAAAAAAACAACAACAACTTTGGAACGATGTCCTTTGGAAATAAAGACAAATCCAAAGTGGAGATGTTTTACCATAATGCAGGGTTGTAGTTGAAAAACAAACAAACATGAGCACAAGCAGTGGTTTTGTAACAATTTATTCTAGTTAGATGTGAGGCCATCAGTGGATGAGCCCTGCGAAAGCTGATGAAGACCCGGAGGGAACATCACGAGTGTAGATTAGATGATTCACGAAAACACGGCTAAACTCAAACTTCTCAAACCACAATGTTTCAGTGACTTGTTTTTCAAGCAAATAAAGATGACAAGTG